AGGGGAGGAGGGGAGGAGGGGAGGAGGGGAGAAAAATTATGACTAGAGGGAAGCGATGACAGAACAAGAAAGAGAAAAGGGAAGATAAAAAGGAGGGGTAGAAAGAAAAGAGAAGGAAAGGAGAGAGAAGAAAGGTACAGAGGAGTTGTTAAGAGGGAAGGGGGAGAAAAGAGGAAGAGGATGGCTGAGAAGCTGAGAAGGACAGCACAGACCACCATAAAACAAAAGAAAATTTAATAAATCATTTTCCATAAATAATACTTCTATATTTTCTGTTTTATGAAAAGGAAACAGTGAATTTTAGGAAGATTTCCAGATCCAGGTGTTTTAAAATAATGAAAAGCCTCTGTGCTTGAAAGAGTATGTTTTGGTGGCTTGGAAAATCCATTCGCTTAGGATAACACTTCTCCCAAAGACACTAAAATCAAGGACAGACTCAATTCCAGTAATGATAAGGTAGAGTGACAATATTTTGATTCTTTGCAGTTTGTATTGATCTTGAAAGTAAGTGTTTCAGTTTTACCAATTTATATAAACAGTATAGAAAAATATAAAGTCATTTTATTTCTTAAGAGGCTCATTTTCCTTTATCATTATTTTTCATTCTTACACAATCTCTGTGAAGTGGCAAACTGGCTCAAAGAAGAGTGAAAACTGACAAAGTACATGGATATTTCTTTCCCCTTTCTGCAGAAGGAAGACTCTGTCTTTCATGGTTTCCCACTCAAGCCACCCATTTACTTTGCAGCCACTTGCCTTGGCTCCTAACGACAAGAATTTGCCATTATTCCCAAAGACACAGCTGTATTTATTTACTGTGCTCTAGATATGCACACATCTCAAGCTGACACCTAATGAAATACTGAAATCATTAAAAAAAAAAATAATTCAAACTCTGTGTGCTTTGGAAGAGGCCAAAAGTACAATGACCACCGTACATTACACAGGCATAAAGTGAAGAGTTCAGAGGAAGGGTTGACATCACGCATAATGAGAGAATTTCTCAGACTCCTTCACCCCGTGAGTCACTGAAGGAGAATAGCTACACAGCAATTCAACTTGCTAAATATTTTTCTCTAATATATTGTGAAATATTTAGATGTCTTGCTTAAGATCCTTGTATCTCAAAAGATTTTGACTTTGTTATCCTTTATTTTGAAAGTGACAATGCAAATACTGTTACATGAAAAAGATAGCAAAAAAGAGTAGTCACTAAATCATTTATGAGTTGATCAATGAAAAGGGGGCATATGATTTTCTATATTTTTCTATAAAGTAAGATTCAATAAGCATCAAAATATATATAGTACATGTTTAAAATATATTTTAATCTGTTCATAATAATCTATATTTGTGTCTATGTATTATCATTTTTATGTACTCACAGTTTTGTTCTTTTCAATTTTATTAAAGTTTCATTTGTTATTTGCTATTTACTCTGAATTGCTTATCTTCTGTGGAACTGTTACTGATCCCTTTATCTGTTTCATGTTCTTTTTTAAAGCATTCAGTTATAAAATCAAAGTTGAAATTCATTTCTATTAGATTAGTGCATTATTGGAAATGCACTAATCAGGGAGAAAAAAAAACCCTTTAGAAAGGAGTGTGATTATAACTATTTCACATTGAATAACTAGGTTTTAGAGCATTTTTAATGGTATCTTTTTTCCCAAGCAGATTACGAATACAAAATTATCTTTATGGGCTCCAGATGTGTTGTCACATAAAAAGCATCTCTAGGGCTATTTGATGTATTATACACTTGTTACCACATTTATCAGGCAGAGCAAAACTTGACCTGGCATTATATAAGATACCTTTCTGAAACTGTTAAAACCATCAGTGCAGCTGCTCATTTTATGGACTCTGTTTACTAAAAAGACTCCACAGACAGTAAATACACTGACAATGAAGACACACAGGATCTCTAAGTGCATCCAAAGAGACATTTTAAGATGTCTCCTTGGCTCCTTGGGACCTACTAGTGTCAAGTGTGAAGCTTAAGCTATATAGTTAAAAGGAAGCATACCCATTTTTTAATTTCAATTTTTCAATGTAAAGAAGACCTGAATTTGAAGCACAAATTTGCTTAACACTTTACACTTCAATCCTATAAACCAATGTATTTATGTCAGTGCTTCAATACTGACAGTATTTTCAGTAGTTTAATTTCAATATTGGGTAGTCACCAGAGAGCAATGTACATATGGTTTATTCATAGGATTGAACTTGGTTAAAATTACCACAATTTTTAAGTTGCCATATTTTTAAAACCCAAGTAATTATTCAATAGCCTCATTTCTAATTTACTTACAGTCAATTTTTATGTATAATAAAATAAATAAATTCAAATTTGATAAGGTGTGTCATTTTTTTCTCCCTCAGTACATAAATATAATGTTAAAAATATACTTTCTCAATCAAAACTACAATGCAATACTATTTCATCACTAGAATGGCTAGAATTTTAAAATGGAAGAATGAGGAGAAACTTGAATACTTACACAGTGTTAGTGGGAAGGTAAAATGGCACAGCCAGTGTAGAAAACAGTTTGGGGGTTCTTCAATAAGTTAAGCATAGAATTAGCCTATGATTCAGCAATTCCATTGCTAGGTATATACTCAAAATAATTAAAACAGGTGTTCAAACAAAAACTTGTACATGAAAGTTCATAGCAGCATTTTTTTTGCAATAGTCAAAACATGAAAACAGCCCAAATATCCATCAGCTAATGAATCGATAAGCCAATGTGGTACGTCCCACTCAAT